ACCTACACTAATAATTCTCACGTAAATTTAATTTTTAAGGATCATAAACACAGATTGTTGACACAAAATGAAACCAAAGAACCAAATTATCGACTTAAAAATCTACCAACCTACCAATCTATCGACTTATTTTGATTATATCCTACAATATACTCGTTTGACAAGTTTCAAAAGTATTAAAAATTAGGGTAGAGCTCTTAGATCGTTCTTGCTCTTTGTAAGTATTATTGAGTTGATTATTGATTGTTGGAGTTTTTTGTTTTCCTTTACTATTGCTTGTATTTATAGGTTTTTGGCTTCTCCATGATCTTTCATAATACTCCATGTTCTTTTACACTTTCTCAATGCTCTACTTCCCTCTATAATTGTTGTGATCATGTCCTATTTTATTTTTTAACTACCTACTTTCTTCTTAATTATTACGAAGATTAACCTTTTTTATTGTAACTACCTATTCTCTTTCTAATTGTTAGAAAGTTTAGCGTATGTAATTATTTTGTTATGATAGTCTTATTTAATCAAAGAGATCATGATTAGTAAGTGTTTTTAGTATAAGTAAATCATTTAATAATTTAATTGACAAGCTTTTCATTTAAAATCAAATTACTAAACTTTTAGGCCTAGTTTGAATTTTAAGTATAGCATTTGCCTCTCTTTTTTTCATCTATGAGTGTTTACCTCATGTGTAGAAAGAAATAATTCTCGCACTTATTGATTAACTTTTCACTTTTAACTTCCCCGTGTAACATGTATTTTAGTCATTGTAAACGGACCTTTCTACCTTCTATAGACTTACTCATTACAAACCTATGTGAATCAATTAAAAGATGCATCATCATTGTATATTCTATCTTTTGATTATAAGCTCTTCTCTTTTTTTAAAGTAACCATCATCTCTTTATTTCTTTTAAAAAAATTATACATCCTTCACCATCTAACTTGCCTCTATCGACTTATGAGACCTCTAAAAAAGAGTTAAAAATAAAGAGTTGCCACTTAGTACTTTAAGGAGACTAGGAAACCAAAACAACTAGTCTTGTAGAGATTATGCATAAGAAATTTGTTATATTTATGGGAAGATAAAAATTACCTAAAAACTTTCTTTCTTAAGAAACATTACCAAAACCTATTATATTCCTAAGTTATTTCTTAAAGAATTTCCAAAAATATTTCTAAGCTTTTTTTTTTTTTTTTGCTTTCTATTAGAGATTGAAGGATTGAATTTAAGTTTTGTTGATTTAATTTTGTTTAAGAGTAGAATTGGTGTGGTTGTTAAGCATTTTATACCTTGTTTGTCATTGTGATTAGAATTTTATGGGTTGTAATGTATGGATAGGATAATATTTGCCATTGTGATTGGAAATTCTAGAAATTTATGGGCAATTTTGCATAGAAAATAATTTATAGGTACACTCGTGTGATTTTTGGTGCACCTAAACCTAGCATCAATTGGCCTAGCATGCTCACGCACTTGGTACGGGCATACCTAGCCCTTATGTACATCTAGTGCACCCTTGATATACACGAGACATGCTTGGCCTACCTATAGTTTTCTTTGATTTTCAAATATCTTAGCTCACAAGTAAACTAATTATGCTATATTGGTATACTCTCACCGTGGCCATAGATTCTTTGAGCATACATTCATCAAATACAATGTGATAACTCCTTTAGTATACAAGAAATGACATCTCCTATCTTATTCATTCACGTATCTCTATTAGATTCCTAGTGCACCTAACGAATCATCCATATGTAACTCTTTACCGAGCTCATCGAAATGAATGTCAAAGTACATAAATCATCTAATAAGATAACCGTGATGATTTTAAGTTAAAGGATCAATTTTACCCATCTCATATAAGATTTTCATAGACTAAACCAAATAGTCTCTCATAATGAGTCATGTCTAGTGGTATATTCTCTAACATTAATCATCTAAGTGCTTGTTTTGGCATCACCATGTCAATAGGTGTGAGATCTCCTACTACTATCTTACGAGCATTAGAGCATAGCACTTACAAGTTTTACTGTATGTAATCAATATTCATTCTTAACAATGCTATGATTTTAAGTTTTAGGATATTTAATGATATCATTTAAGTGCATTAATGTTTGTCTCACATCTTTCGATCAATCATAAAGGCAATGGATATCATATAGACTTTTATCTATTTCCATCAAACTCGTAAACAACAAAAATTAATAAAATGACTTCTTTTATTGATATATAAAATGAAATATTATAATAAATAAAATCATTCAAACAATGATGGATCTAGTGGCACCTACACTAACACTTAATAAGCATCCCCATCCATACTATTTTTGTTATCCCTTTATCGAAAACGATTATACAAAAGCTCTGAATGGATTATGGCTAATTTTTTTATGGAGCTCTATAAGAGAGTCTAAATATCATTGGGTATCTTGGGATAGGGTGTGTCGCCTTTGTCAAAGGGTGGTTCGGGTATTCATGGCTTGTTCCAAGTTATGGATGTTTTGTAGGCTAAACCGACTTGGTCTTATCTTTAAGGTCATAGCTTATAAACTAAGATCATAAAACCCATGAACCTTCTCCTCGGTATTGCTCTTATTCCTCTTACATTTGGAAGGTTTTTTTTAACCATTTTACTATTTTAGAACGTTGTACAACTTAAATTGCAGGAAAAGGATCAATTCCATTTTAGTAGTCTAATTGGTGTGGTATCGCATTAAACCCTCCTTTACCCTTAGACTTTAATCTTACCTGGAAGGGGTCTTGCATGTTTAGATGATTTTCTTTCTTTCATTCCTACTCATTATCATGATTATATGAGGGTTATTCAATTGAAAAATGGTTTGGAAGATAAGATTGTTTTCGGTTGATCTAAGTAGGTTATTTTGAATCCAAAACCTACTACAATTATTGTAGACAATAACGCCAACAAGTTTGATGGGCTAAACCAAGTATGGCATTCTTGTATTCCCCCTAAAGTAGGGGGTTTTATCTAGAAGTGGTTTCATAGGGCTCTTTCAATTGACTCTATGATTAAAGACTTGACCATTCCTATGGTCTCCATCTCGTACTCGTTATGTGTCGCTTAGAGAGGAGTCATTTGATCATCTCTTTTTGCATTCGAAGTTAGTTATGTCGTATGGCTAGGTTTTTGGCTTATTTTGATATTAGAAATTCATACATATCTTCTTCTAACCTCCTAAATGGTTGGATGGCCTCCACTTCAATAAAAGTGGGCATGTGTCGAGTAGCTACCCTTTTTTTTTCCTTTGGGGGATTTGGAAACATAGATGCAAGGCAAGGTTCAAAGAGGTACCTATATCTCGCTTATGCCATTTTCGATCAAATGCGTCATCATCGTTTATATATATATATATATATATATATCCTAAATCTTTGTTTAGTGTTTCTTCAGTGTAGAAACTTCAAGCTTTAGGTTTATCGATCCTATCGTTGCCTTTTGATAGAGGCAAATGGCTTCAATGGTCGCCACTCTTAGATGATCGCTATAAGCTTAATACGGATGGATCTTCTATATATGTTTGTTACACCGATGATAGTGTTATCCGTAACTCGGGAGGGCAATTCATGATAGCATTTGTAAATAATTATGGTACAAGTACAAATACAATAGCAGAACTTCTAGCTTTGTGTAATGGTCTTCTACTCTATTAAGAGCTTTCTCTAAGTAATGTTATTGTGAAGGCTAACTCAAAGGAAGTGGTTTAAGTCATTTTAGGGCTCTCCTCTTTGCCTTGGATCTATACTTATGAGTTGCGCTTCTTTACTTTTGGGGAATTCCCTTTTTCATGTTTACCATGAGCAAAATATGGTTGCAAACAGATTAGCTTATCATGCACATTCGCTTCAAGGTAATAATGTTTATTCTTCTTTTTCTAGTTTGCTTTTAGATGTTAAATTGCCTCTTAGACATGATAGATTTGGTTTCTATAATTATAAAAGTTGAGGTAGTTTTCTTTTCCTTTTGCAACATGAGTTTGTATTTTTAGGGGTTTAGACTTCTTTGTCCTCTCAAATTGTTTGAATAAGATTAATTTGTCCTTTTCTTATATTTTTTTAATTAATAAAATTTATCATAGTGTCATCTCTATTTTAAAAAAAATACCACATAATGTGCATGGATACCATATATTTATTAGCGTTTGGCTTTATTCATGACTTCGTCACAATATATGATGCATTGAACTGGCACGGAATGTGCATGCATACCACATATTTGTTAGCATTTGTCTTTCGTAAAGTGGTTACATTAGTTATATGGTCAGGTATGTGGTGTGGAATATGTCATCCAAACACACACACATATATATACATATGCCCTATATTTTCTACCAAAGCAGAAAATAGATCACATCATGTCATCATGCTTGGCATGGATAACACTAACGTATCTTGGCTTGAAAGATAGCCAAGAAACTAGCAATACAACGCAAGAGCAGAAATAACACTAGTTAATAATATCAAAGCAATGCAGATTGCAGACAGTTGAAAGTTCTTGGGAGTTGCCAACCCCCATATTGGTGGGTCTTGGTGGTTGACAATTAACTTGGAGCATGCACTTAAGGGTAGTTGGAGACAGGGGAGTCACGTTTAATGGTGGTTGGGTTAAAAAAAAAAAAAAAAGAGAGGAGGGATTGAATTGACTAATTATTTCATTTCACCCTTTTCCAGAAGCAAATTTAGTTATATTTCAAGGGATGAAAATAAGGAATAATTGATAGCTGAATGTTGTAACCATAGGGAACCACCAGAGCATGCACAATACCCATGACTAATGTTGAATGGTAAGTGATGACTTGTCATGCAGTTTCTAATAACAAGATCCGTACACTTATAAAGAAATTATTTTATAGCCAAATTGATTGAAGATGACGGTGGATTAGGTGTATATATAAAGAAAGTCTTGGATATCATCATCAAATACTATAGAAGGAAAAAAAAAAAAGGAGAGAGAGAAAAGGGAACAACACCAAAAAAAAACATGTCTAGTAAATCATCATTCGAGCTTCATGTTGTTATGTTTCCATGGTTTGCATTTGGTCACATAAGCCCATTTGTGCAACTCTCTAACAAGCTTTCCCTCCATGGAGTTCGAATCTCTTTCTTGTCAGCTCCTGGCAACATTGCGCGCATCAAATCCTCTCTTCTTGTTACTCCCAACATGCAAATCATCTCTCTTCCAATCCCCACAGTTGAGGGCCTCCCTCCAGGCGTTAACAGCACCGCAGAGACAACACCGGCTATGGCTGGTCTCCTTAAGAAAGCTCTAGACCTCATGAAGCCTCAAATCAAGACCTTATTGGCAGAACTCAAACCCCATTTTGTGTTCTTCGATCACTTTCAGCACTGGATTCCAGTAATAGCTTCCCAGCTTGGTATTAAAACAATAAGCTACACTGTTTTCTCTGCCACTTCAACTTCTTACCTTACTGTTCCTGCCAGAATAAGTGAAAAAGGAGAAGGTCCCTCTGTTGAGGATCTCAAGAAATCTCCAAATGGGTATCCTTTAACCTCCCTTACATCGGTCAAATCTTTTCAGGCTCGAGACTTTTCGATTGTATATAAGAGCTTTGATGGTGGTCCGACCATATACGATAGAGCTGTTGGGAGTCGCGTTGGCTGCACTGCAATGCTCTTAAAAACGTGTAAAGAAATGGAAGGACCGTATGTGGATTTTATAAAGAAACAATTTAAAAAACCAGTACTTTTAACTGGTCCTCTAGTCCCTGAGCCACCTTCTGGAGCACTTGATGACAATTGGGCTAGCTGGTTGGGTCAATTTCCTGCCAAATCTGTAATTTTTTGCTCATTTGGCAGCGAAACATTCTTGAACCATGATCAAATAAAAGAGCTTGTTCTTGGGTTGGAACTCACTGGTTTACCATTTTTTCTTGTTTTGAATTTTCCTGCTGAGCTCAATAGCCAAACCGAGTTAAACCGGGCTTTACCACCAGGGTTCTTGGAGAGGGTCAGGGAGAGGGCAGTCTTGCACACAGGGTGGGTTCAGCAACAACTTATACTAGCCCACGGTAGTATAGGGTGTTATGTCTGTCACTCAGGGTTTAGCTCTCTGATTGAAGCATTGGTGAATGATTGTCAGTTGGCCATGCTACCATTAAAGGGTGATCAGTTCTTGAACAGCAAGCTCATAGCAGGAGACCTGAAGGCTGGGGTGGAGATAAATAGGAGAGACGATGATGGATACTTTGGAAAGGACGACGTTTTTGAAGCTGTCAAAACTGTCATGTTGGATTCGGACAAGGAGCCTGGCAAGTCTATCAGGGAAAACCACAAGAAATGGAGGGAATTTCTGTTGAGTGAACAGATTCAGAACAAGTACATTGTGGAGTTGATTGAGGAGCTGAAAGCCATGGCTTAGAATCAGATTCGTCGACCATGCCATTCAAGCATCGATTGAGTTCGCTTGCAAATAGCTTTCCTGTCTTCTTTGAGCTGAAAGCCCTCCTTTTTTTTAAGGAAAATCCAACACATCATCTTTGTCCTAGCAGCTGCTTTTAGATTGATTTCCCTTGAAATAAATTACTTACTAATAATGATGAACTTCATTTTCGAATCCTCGGTATAATTTGCGCCGTTCCTTTAGGTCTTTTTGGACTTCTGATTTTTTTTTTGGCCTTTTGGAAAGTAGACTCGAACGAAGCGAGAGATTATCAGCTACTCTAATAGTTAATCCCCATTGCATTATCATGTGCTGGCACCACCTATTGAACCATACTATTTAATGATACTGCTTTTGGGGACCACTCCCTTTCGTTATCACCATTACTGCCAGTATTATCAATCAACACAACCACGTACGTCCCCGATCTTAGTGCATTGCTTCGTAACTACCAATAAAAAAGAAAAAATCATTTACAGGAAAATGTTTTCTGAACTTTTTTTCCATGAAACAAAGTCATCCTATTTGACACACAACAAATTTGAGAGATGAAAATTCTAAAGCATCTAAATTTTATACTGAACATAGCCAAACTAAATAAAATAATTTTGAAAAACATATAGATCGATGGGAACGGAAATCTAACATAAATCATCCCAAAATCGGATTTTTTTTTTTTTTACTTAAAATGGTCTCGAAAGGTGATAAAACTCCACCTTGCAAAAAACATTTGACGGCTTTGGGGTTGCTGTTGAATTATAGAACAATGATTAAGTTTTACCTTGATGTCTGACAATCCCCTCATAATTCTATTTCTAAAAATAAAAAATAAAAATTACGTTCTTTAATTTTTAAAGTGTGTTGGTTTATGTGGGACTCATCTCGCTAAGAGTTGATGAACAACATTTACTGTATGGTATCTTTCGGGATTTGGTGAACAATGTTCACTGTATGGTGGCTCGAATCATTATTCAAAAATCTAAAAATTAAATTTGAGACATTAACCTAATTTATATACAACAATTAAAGAATCTATATCTATGTTCAAAGAATCTAGATTTTAATTCGGTTTTCAAGTTAATCTGACCTAATAAATGTTTCGGTTTCGAAGCCAAAGATCGTAGTTCAATCAAAAGAATTCTTGAGCATCCTATTACTAAAATTGCAGTTCCTCAAATAAAAACTTAAAAACAAATAATTTTAAGAATAAATTAAACTTTATTTTCTTTGAGCTGAAAGCCCTCCTTTTTTTAAGGAAAATCCAACACATCATCTTGTCCTAGCAGCTGCTTTTAGATTGATTTCCCTTGAAATAAATTACTTACTAATAATGATGAACTTCATTTTCGAATCCTCGGTATAATTTGCGCCGTTCCTTTAGGTCTTTTTGGACTTCTGATTTTTTTTTTTCCTTTTGGAAAGTAGACTCAAACGAAGCGAGAGATTATTTAATTTTGAAAAACATATAGATCGATGGGAAAGGAAATCTAACATAAATCATCCCAAAATCGGGTTTTTTTTTTTTTTTTACTTAAAATGGTCTCGAAAGGTGATAAAACTCCACCTTGCAAAAAACATTTGACGGCTTTGGGGTTGCTCGTTGAATTATAGAACAATGATTAAGTTTTACCTTGATGTCCGACAATCCCCTCATAATTCTATTTCTAAAAATAAAAAATAAAAATTACGTTCTTTAATTTTTAAAGTGTGTTGGTTTATGTGGGACTCATCTGCTAGGAGTTGGTGAACAACATTTACTGTATGGTATCTTTCGGGATTTGGTGAACAATATTCACCGTATGGTGGCTCGAATCATTATTCAAAAATCTAAAAATTAAATTTGAGACATTAACCTAATTTATATACAACAATTAAAGAATCTATATCTATGTTCAAAGAATCTAGATTTTAATTCGGTTTTCAAGTTAATCCGACCTAATAAATGTTTTAGTTTCGAGCCAAATATCGTAGTTCAATCAAAAGAATTCTTGAGCATCCTATTACTAACATTGCAGTTCCTCAAATAAAAACTTAAAAACAAATAATTTTAAGAATAAATTAAACTTTATTTTCTTTGAGCCGAAAGCCCTCCTTTTTTTTAAGGAAAATCCAACACATCATCTTGTCCTAGCAGCTGCTTTTAGATTGATTTCCCTTGAAATAAATTACTTACTAATAATGATGAACTTCATTTTCGAATCCTCGGTATAATTTGCGTCGTTCCTTTAGGTCTTTTTGGACTTCTGATTTTTTTTTTCCTTTTGGAAAGTAGACTCAAACGAAACGAGAGATTATTTAATTTTGAAAAACATATAGATCGATGGGAACGGAAATCTAACATAAATCATCCCAAAATCGGATTTTTTATTTTTTTACTTAAAATGGTCTCGAAAGGTGATGAAACTCCACCTTGCAAAAAACATTTGACGGCTTTGGGGTTGTCTGTTGAATTATAGAACAATGATTAAGTTTTACCTTGATGTCCGACAATCCCCTCATAATTCTATTTCTAAAAATAAAAAATAAAAATTACGTTCTTTAATTTTTAAAGTGTGTTGGTTTATGTGGGACTCATCTGCTAGGAGTTGGTGAACAACATTTACTGTATAGTATCTTTCGAAATTTGGTGAACAATGTTCACCGTATGGTGGCTCGAATCATTATTCAAAAATCTAAAAATTAAATTTGAGACATTAACCTAATTTATATACAACAATTAAAGAATCTATATCTATGTTCAAAGAATCTAGATTTTAATTCGGTTTTCAAGTTAATCTGACCTAATAAATGTTTCGGTTTCAGAGCCAAAGATCTTAGTTCAATCAAAAGAATTCTTGAGCATCCTATTACTAACATTGCAGTTCCTCAAATAAAAACTTAAAAACAAATAATTTTAAGAATAAATTAAACTTTATTTTCTTTGAGCTGAAAGCCCTCCTTTTTTTTAAGGAAAATCCAACACATCATCTTGTCCTAGCAGCTGCTTTTAGATTGATTTCCCTTGAAATAAATTACTTACTAATAATGATGAACTTCATTTTCGAATCCTCGGTATAATTTGCGTCGTTCCTTTAGGTCTTTTTGGACTTCGATTTTTTTTTTCCTTTTGGAAAGTAGACTCAAACGAAACGAGAGATTATTTAATTTTGAAAAACATATAGATCGATGGGAACGGAAATCTAACATAAATCATCCCAAAATCGGATTTTTTTTTTTTTTTACTTAAAATGGTCTCGAAAGGTGATGAAACTCCACCTTGCAAAAAACATTTGACGGCTTTGGGGTTGCTGTTGAATTATAGAACAATGATTAAGTTTTACCTTGATGTCCGACAATCCCCTCATAATTCTATTTCTAAAAATAAAAAATAAAAATTACGTTCTTTAATTTTTAAAGTGTGTTGGTTTATGTGGGACTCATCTACTAGGAGTTGGTGAACAACATTTACTGTATGGTATCTTTCGAGATTTGGTGAACAATATTCACTGTATGGTGGCTCTAATCATTATTCAAAAATCTAAAAATTAAATTTGAGACATTAACCTAATTTATATACAACAATTAAAGAATCTATATCTATGTTCAAAGAATTTAGATTTTAATTCGGTTTTCAAGTTAATCCGACCTAATAAATGTTTCAGTTTCGAGCTAAAGATCGTAGTTCAATCAAAAGAATTCTTGAGCATCCTATTACTAACATTGCAGTTCCTCAAATAAAAACTTAAAAACAAATAATTTTAAGAATAAATTAAACTTTATTTTCTTTGAGCCGAAAGCCCTCCTTTTTTTTAAGGAAAATCCAACACATCATCTTGTCCTAGCAGCTGCTTTTAGATTGATTTCCCTTGAAATAAATTACTTACTAATAATGATGAACTTCATTTTCGAATCCTCGGTATAATTTGCGCCGTTCCTTTAGGTCTTTTTGGACTTCTGATTTTTTTTTCCTTTTGGAAAGTAGACTCAAACGAAGCGAGAGATTATCAGCTACTCTAATAGTTAATCCCCATTGCATTATCATGTGCTGGCACCACCTATTGAACCATACTATTTAATGATACTGCTTTTGGGGACCACTCCCTTTCGTTATCACCATTACTGCCAGTATTATCAATCAACACAACCACGTACGTCCCCGATCTTAGTGCATTGCTTCGTAACTACCAATAAAAAAGAAAAAATCATTTACAGGAAAATGTTTTCTGAACTTTTTTCCATGAAACAAAGTCATCCTATTTGACACACAACAAATTTGAGAGATGAAAATTCTAAAGCATCTAAATTTTATACTGAACATAGTCAAACTAAATAAAATAATTTTGAAAAACATATAGATCGATGGGAACGGAAATCTAACATAAATCATTCCAAAATCAGGTTTTTTTTTTTTTTTACTTAAAATGGTCTCGAAAGGTGATAAAACTCCACCTTGCAAAAAACATTTGACGGCTTTGGGGTTGCTGTTGAATTATAGAACAATGATTAAGTTTTACCTTGATGTCTGACAATCCCCTCATAATTCTATTTCTAAAAATAAAAAATAAAAATTACGTTCTTTAATTTTTAAAGTGTGTTGGTTTATGTGGGACTCATCTGCTAGGAGTTGGTGAACAACATTTACTGTATGGTATCTTTCGGAATTTGGTGAACAATGTTCACTGTATGGTGGCTCGAATCATTATTCAAAAATCTAAAAATTAAATTTGAGACATTAACCTAATTTATATACAACAATTAAAGAATCTATATCTATGTTCAAAGAATTTAGATTTTAATTCGGTTTTCAAGTTAATCTGACCTAATAAATGTTTCGGTTTCAGAGCCAAAGATCTTAGTTCAATCAAAAGAATTCTTGAGCATCCTATTACTAACATTGCAGTTCCTCAAATAAAAACTTAAAAACAAATAATTTTAAGAATAAATTAAACTTTATTTTCTTTGAGCTGAAAGCCCTCCTTTTTTTTAAGGAAAATCCAACA